GGGGGGGGGGGGGGGGGGGGGGGGGGGGGGGGGGGGGGGGGGGGGCGAAGACAGACTCTTTGAAACGTGCCCGCTCGGCCGACCGCGGGATCCCGGACCTGCGTAGTCAGTTCCACCCACTCCAGGGAGACTTCCAAGAGGTGCCGGATTGTCGTCTGCTTCTTGCGGCCGCCTCAGTGTCATCCCCCCCCCCCCCCGGAACAACTCCAGAGCTTCCGGCCCTCAAAAAATGGGGGGCGCCCCAAAGGGCAGCAAGAGGGGCGCGGGGGAGGGGGGGGGCTGAAAGTACTACAAAGGATCTTGGCTTCCTGGCTGTTTTGGTGCTGGGTTCGAGTCGGCAACGGCAACCCACCGTCCAGACTCCTCAGCCCAGGAGGAATAATAAGTGCCACTTATAAGTGGAAGGGCGGAATTGAAACTGCCCGTTGCCGCTCCTCCGAGAGAGAGCCCCCTGAAAAAGAGCGGCCTTGGGGAACTGGAAGGCTGTTCACCAGGCACGGATTAGGCAACCGCATTTAGCCCAGCATCTTGGGTAACCCAGATGGGGCGATCGATTAATTCAGGGCATCCTGGAAACCGCCACATGGTGTTGAGTGAATGGAGGTCAAGTTAAGCAGAAGTGGGATTTATTTCCAGGGAATCTTCAATCTCCGAAGACGTCTCTGCCTCGGGATTTTTTTTTTCTTTTTTCTGGAGTTGTTTCCTGATCGTTCTCCCTTGCGGATTTAGTTTGAGAATAGTAAAAAAAAAAAAACTCCGTTTCCCTAAAAAAGGCAGAAGTTCTCTTCAGAATTAAACCCCAGGTAGGCAATATAAGGGGACCGCCATTTCACATTCAGAAAATACGTGAATTCCCTAGAAGTGTGGTATCGTGGCTCACTTCAAGGCTTTCCGGGCATGAAAACCCAAGTCAGCATCTTTTCTTTCCCAAACTTCCCCAGATTGAAACAGAGGCTGAATATCAGGGATTTGCTCTCAGGGGCCGCTCACTTTTTCACACACCGGTATTTTAGTTATTTCTAAAGATAAATAAAACAGCAAAGCACGTCCATACATTTTAATGGGATTTTGTCCTTAAGTGTGTTTGAGTCCAAGGTTAAAGTTTTTCAGTTTGCTCCCTTTTGTCCCTTTTGTGTAGTTGAGTTTTGTGTAGTTGAGGAGGATTGAGAACTTGGTTTTGTTCTGGACAGAGATAATTTAACCAAGTTTCATGGCATATCCATATGGCTTTTCTGGAGAAGACATATGAATTATATCTGATTACACACTTATTTCTTTTTCTGAACCAATTTACATCTGCAAAAACAAATAATATATCTTAAGTATTTGCAAATATAAACATGTGTCTGAATGTGTGTATTCTGCTTTTTCATTAGTAATTCCACTCATTGATTTATGATTATAGAAATTATCTCTAAAAAGACTGGATATTCTTTGGATACTGAGTATTCTGCAACAAATAGCATTATTTTGTTTGCTTTTTATTGCTTTGTTGATTTACCTCCTGGATTACATTATTTTGAAGTAAATCTCGTCCCTTCTTTTAAACCAGAAAACAAGAGGGCTAATCCAATTCGGTTTTATTTGCAACCACAAGGTTTTCAGTAAAGGACGCACACTATAATTGTGGTGGTTTAACCTGGCATTCAACTCGAGCCCGAGGAAAATCTCACAAATTCAAAAATAGATGTAAACTGCTGAAAAAATTGTGTAACTTTTTGAAGGGACATTTACAGAAATTTTAAGAGAATCGCCGAGGTCTCCACAACATTTTGACACAAAAACCAATTCCCAGAGAAAAAGGCGAAGGGGACGGTCCTATGCCTGTCTCTTTGAGGCAACCAGAAAAGTGGGAAGAGAGGGATTGCTGTCTTAAGAGATGGAAAGCAGGAACCAGTTGGATATTCCTGGCGAAGTAGCTGTTTCTGTAAGGAAATTAGGCAGTAAAAAGAGCAACAGTGACGTGGCCGCACACTTTTATGTTCACTAGGTAAGGTCATCCACCGTCCACAGGCCCCTAAACTGGATAATTTATAAGATTACTCTTATAAATCGAATTGTGGTGAAGCTCTGCGCCAATTCCAGGGGGGGAGGAGCCTTGCCTCTTCGATCCCGTTTGTCAGTATAATTTTAAAAGGACAAAGAAAATATTTTGTTTTTTACTTACATATATTGTAGTGGGGCAGTATGGGGGGGGGGGTGTTAAATAATTTTCAAATTAAAATTCGTTTATTTGGCTAGCGGGACCAAATAAAATTAGGGAGGCGGTTGTGGATTCTCCTCTCCCTTTTTATATATAAAGTTTAAACGGCGTAGTTGATCCTCGGTTTTGAATGGCTCCACTTCACTTTAGAACGTGTGTATCTGAATTGGTGATTTGGATGGCTTGAATCGAGAGCCCGAGGTGGTCAGGTAGGAGGTAAAACCCCCTTGGGGTCGTTCGTTTAAAAAGCCGCCAAAGCTTTCGACCACTACACGGAATCTACCTCGGCAGGTTCCAGATCGCTTTGGTGGCTGAGATCGTGAAAGAAAACAGGATCCAGCCCCCACCTCCCCCTTCGCAAACCCACCTGCTGGTTGACAGAACAAGACCTTAGGCATAAGGAGAAAGGCTTCTAGAAAGCTGTTAGCCGAGAGCCATTATTTATTTTTTTATTTATTTTGTCAAGAGATTATAAGATAACAGGTATAAGTATAAACATAGTTATGAATACATGAAATGGATACATATAAGAAAAATAAAAAGAAACCTCCATGTTTAGGAGTAGTGTACCTCCGAGGACAAATAATGAGAATAACTCGGCAGAGGGCGATCAAGCAGGCGGGTCTGACCCAAGAGGATCAGGCGCGAGATCTGGATCTGGGCTCTTCTGCGCGGGGAGGAAGCGGGGGGCGCAATCTTTGCCTTCCAAGTCGGGGTTTGGGGCCGCCCGCATTCGAGCTGCAGGGAGGAAGGCTCGCCTCTTTCTTCTCCTTTTGATGCACCAACAGGAAACACATTGGCGGAAATGCTGCCCTCGCCTCCTGCGGCCTGCTTCCAGGGTCCTCTGCCCGCCGGCGCACGTCAGAAGGCTGGCTCAAGAGAGAGCCGCGCCGACTGCGTCCTGCCGCCCACCCAAGATCCGGCAGGTCGGATCTTTCCCTCCAACAATGCGCTCTCCGTTAAAGTCTAGTAGTCCGTCTGAATCGACAAACCTGCCTCTTAACGGGTGGGCTTGGGACGTTAGGAACCCTGGCTAGTTGATGCTCACTTGCCAGCTTTCTGTGCTGTGGTTTTCGACCCCTTGGACGCAAGTGATTTGCATTACAACTCCCACGATCCCTTTTCAAAACTGCCTGATGGAAGCTGAAGCACGTGGAAGGAAGTAGGTTGGGGTCCCCAATCTATGAGTCTTTTCGGGATGCCCCCTCCTCCGCCAACCATGTTAAATAAGCACCCTGTGTGTCATCCTGTGTGATTTAGCTCTTGTGCAACCTTCACATCATACAGTTGGATTGAGTAAATTATGAGTAAAGTAATGGGGGATTGTGCTAATACAGTTAGCCCTCGATTTACAATAGTTCATTTTAGTGACTGCTCAGTTATATTGTCACTGAAAAAGTGACTTCTTACACTTTTTTCACACTTACTATTGTTGCAGCATCCCCATGGTCACATGATGAAAAGTCAGATGCTTAGCAACTGGTTCATATTTATGAAGACTGCAGCGTCCTAGGGTCATGGGATCAACTTTTGCGACCTTCTGACAAGCAAAGTCAATGGGAAATCCAGATTCACTTAACAACCCAACCTTACTTAACTTAACAAATGCAACAATTTGCTTAACTCTGGCATGAAAAGTCATACAATGGAGCAAATTCACTTAACAAATGTTTCACTTAGCAACATAAATTTTGGGCTCCATTGTGTTCGTAACTCAAGGACTACTTGTAGGTATTGCCAGAGTGGGGCTAGACATTCACAAAAAACACCTGGACTATAGCACCAGGACTATAGTTGGGCCCAAAGCGGCTTTTAGAAAGGGGGCTTCCAATTGTGAAGTAAATATTGTAGGAATCCGACTGGGAAACAATCTAGGCGGCAGCAAAAATAAGCAATTTTGCTTCCCACACATCTGTAATATTCAGGTCTCTGGCGTTAACGACACCTATGGGCGTTTAAGGTACGTTAAGACTCTGCTGCACCAAGTAAATATACCCGTCTAAAAAGAAGCTAGAAATGAGAAATATTTGCTATCCGAGCTGTAAACGTCGGTGGAGTTCCGACCAGGCCTTTCTCAGCGTTCACGTGTTTCTTATGACACACTTGTGGACCAGTGAGGACTTTAACGCCGTTTAAACACTTTTGGGGAAGAAAGGCTCCAAACGCAGAAGAGCGATCTAGAGAGGGACGTCTCTT